ATTGGAGGAAGACTCATTAACAACCTGCGATATGCAGATGACACAGCCTTGCTTGCTGAAAGTGAAGAGGACTTGAAGCACTTACTGATGAAGATCAGAGACTGCAGCCTTGAGTATGGATTACACCTCAACATAAAGAAAACAAAAATCCTCACAACTCTACCAATAAGCAACATCATAAAAGGAGAAAATATTGTGATAGGGACACCTTTTTATGTGAAACAAGAGACTACAGATGATCACAGGAATATGTTTTCATTTGGAGAAGTAAAAAGTGTTGGCTTTGGCCTTGTTGGGAGGTTGGTGATTGTAACTTAACATGCTACAGAGCCTAGACTTCAAGAAGTCTTCGAGAATTGTGAAACTGGGGAAGTTTATATTTCAAGAGAATTAGAGAATTTCATCATTTTAAACACTGGTTGTTTTCTCTTTGAACAGATAACATGCCTGGACATTTCCAGTGGAGGAGGCCTTGGCGTGTCTTCTAGTACCGATGGGAGCATGAAGATCTGGCAGGCTTCCAATGGAGAACTCAGAGTAATGGCCTTGGATACACCTTTAGGGTCTTATGCATAAAGGATGGTCTAAGAAACCATGGTCTGGGTCATGGAAGGAAGAGTGGCCCATTTTAAAAATGTAGGACTACTGTACTTCAGTTGGTCTCTATTCTCTCATTTGTAAACCTGAGAACATCTCCAAACCTAGTGATTTGCCAGAACAGAGTGGAGCTGGAGCATTGGAGGAGCCAGGCCAGTGGATGTCTAAATGGGTAGTCCCGTTAGTATGAACTGCCTTCAATGGTTGGTTTCCAAGATGCAGTACCTAGGTTATTACACTGAACATATAGCTTAGCCTTCCAACCTATACAGAAGATTTTAGAAGAGATGGATAAAAGAGTCCTTAAGCATCATTAGCTCCTTATATTTTAGAACTAGACCTATGGATGACTGTGAGAGGCATGGAATTCGATTCCACAACATCTGTAGCCAAAGCTCAGGAAAGGGAGCCAAATAGCTCTCAGAACACTACTCGATTGATAAATGAGCTAAAGAGATTTTTTGGATGTCCTTAGTTTTAAAATTCAGCATGTGGATGTAGCATGTAGGTATTTCATGTGAGAGATTAAGGATGTGGGAAATGAGAGAATATCAAGGGATGAACAAGAGAACTAGCTTGGAATTTTCTTTTGTTTTTCCAGAGAGTATTGGAGGGACATGTGTTTGATGTGAATTGTTGTAGGTTTTTCCCATCAGGCCTTGTGGTTCTGAGTGGGGGAATGGATGCCCAGTTGAAGATCTGGTCAGCTGAAGATGCTAGCTGTGTGGTAACCTTCAAAGGTCACAAAGGAGGTATGAAGGGTGATGGGTGATTTTTTTCCCCAAAAGGCTCCTCTAATGATCCTGAGTCAAATCACCAAAAAAAATAGAAACAGAAGCTAGTTACCCACAAAACACAAATAATTCATCCAACCTGTCATTTCCCAAGGAGTAGAGATTCCTTTGTTAGTCAGTTTTGTTATTTCTATCTAGAACTAACTGCATTACACAGATAGCTTTTTCCATAATTGATACAGAAAAAAAATCATCCCAGGAAATCATCTATATGTGCTGGGGGAATAAAAAAAGAAATGAGCCTACATTTTCTCATAATTAGTCCTTTGGCTGAAGAGTAAGTAAAAGCTGGATGGCAAATTGCTGTATCACCAGAATTAAGAGATGGAGCTTTGTACTGACTTTTGATTCTTACAGATTTAAATCACAGTTTAGAGTTTAATAATGAATTAGCCATATAACCAGTTAATACCAGATAGTAGAGAGAGCACCACGTCTGTCAGTTTGTTGTACTGTGGTGGCTTGCATGTTGCTGTGCTACTGGAAACTATGGCACCAGTATTTCAAATACTAGCAGGGTCACCAGTGGTGGACAGGTTTCAGCAGAGCTTCCAGACTAAGACAGTCTAGGAAGAAGGACCTGGCAGTCTACTTCTGAAAGACTTGGCCAGTGAAAACCTGATGAATAGCAATGAAACACTGTCTGATACAGTGCCAGAAGATGAGCTCCTCAGGTTGGAAGGCACTCAAAATACAACTGGGGAACAGCTGCCTCCTCAAAGTAGAATTGACCTTAATGACAGGGATGGAGTCAAACTTTTGAGACCTTCATTTGCTGATGTGGCACGACTCAAAATGAAAAGAAACAGCCGCAAACATCCATTAATAATCGGAACGTGGAATGTACAAAGTATGAATCTAGGACAATTAGAAGTCATCAAAAATGAAATGGAACACATAAATATTGATATCCTAGGCATTAGTAAGCTGAAATGGACTGGTATTGACTGTTTTGAATTAGACATTAGTATGGTCTACTATGCTGGCAATGACAAATTGAAGAGGAACGGCGTTGCATTCATCGTCAAAAAGAACATTTCATGATGTATTCTGAAGTACAACGCTGTTAGAGATAGGATAATATCCACATGCCTACAAGGAAGAACCAGTTAATATTCAAATTTACGCAGTAACCACTAATGCCAAAGAAAATTGTTACCAACTTTTGCAGTCTGAAATTGATCAAACATACAATCAGGATATATTGACAATTACTGGTGATTGGAATGCAAAAGTTGGAAACGAAGAAGGATTGGTAGTCGGAAAATATGGCCTTGATAATAGAAATGACACTGGAGATTGCATGATAGAATTTTGTAAGACCAACAACAGATACCTTTTTTCAGCAATATAAACAGCAACTATACATGTGGACCTCGCTGGATGGAAAATACAGGAATCAAATTGAGTACATCTGTGGAAAGAGACAATGGAAAAGTTCAGTATCATCAGTCAGAACAAGGCTTGGGTTGACTGTGAAACAGACCATCAATTGCTCATAAGCAAGTTCAAGTTGAAGCTGAAGAAAATTAAAACAAGTCCACGAGAACCAAAATATGGCCTTGAGTATATCCCATCTGAATTTGGAGACCATCTCAAAAGTAGATTTGATGCATTGAACGCTAATGACTGAAGACCAGTCAAGTTGTGGATGACATCAAGGACATCATACATGAAGAAAGTAAGAGGTCATTAAAAAGACAGGAAAGACAGAAAAGACCAAAATGGATGACAGAAGAGACTGTAACATGCTCTTAAACGTAGAGCTGCTAAAGCAGGTGGAAGAAATAATGAAGTTAGAGAGCTGAACAGAAGATTTCAAAGGGCTGCTTGAGAAGACAGAGTAAAGTATTATAATGAAATGTGAAAGACTTGGAGTTAGAAAACCAAAAGGGAAGAACACGCTCAGCATTTCTTAAGCTGAAAGAACTGAAGAAAAAATTCAAGCCTTGAGTTGCAATAGTAAAGGATTCTGTGGGCAAAATAGTGAACGGCACGGGAAGCATCAAAAGAAGATGGAAAGAATACAGAGAGTCACTGTAACAAAAAGAACTGGTTGATGTTCAGCCATTTCAGGAAGTAGCATATGATCAAGAACCAGTGGTACTGAAGGAGGAAGTCCAAGCTGCACTGAAGATATTGGTGAAAAACAAGGCTTCAGGAATTGATGGAATACCAATTGAGATGTTTCAACAAAATGGTCGCAGCTCTGGAGGTGCTCACTCATCTATGCCAAAAAATTTGGAACACGGCTGCCTGGCCCAGTGAGTGGAAGAGAACCATATTTGTGCCCATTCCAAAGAAAGGTGATCCAACCAAATGCTGAAATTATCGACCAGTATCATTAATATCACACATATCTTAGTTATCTAGTGCTGCTATAACAGAAATATCACAAGTGGATAGCTTTAACAAAGAGAAATTTTTTCTCTCACAGTCTAGTAGGATAGAAGCCTGAATTCAGGGCATCAGCTCCAGGGGAAGGCTTTCTTTCTCTCTTGGTTCTGGAGGAAGGTCCTTGTCATTAATCTTCCCCTGGTCTAGGAACTTCTCAGTGTAGGAACCTCGGGTCCAAAGGATGCGCTCTGCTGCTGGCACTGCTTTCTTGGTGGTATGAAGGCACCATGTCTCTCTGCTCACTTCTGTCTTTTATATCTCAGAAGAGATTGGCTTAAAACACAATCTAATCTTGTAGATTGAGTCCTGCCTCATTAACATAACTGTCAATAATCCCACCTCATTAGCATCATAGAGGTGGGATTTACAACACGTGGAAAAATCACATCAGATGACAAAATGGTGGACAATCACACAATACTGGGAATCATGGACTAGCCAAGGTGACATACCTTTTTTTTTTTTAATTGTATTTTAGGTGAAGGTTTACAGAACAAATAGTTTCTCATTACACAGTCAGTATGCATATTGTTTTATGACATTGGTTAACAACCCCACAACATGTCAACACTCTCCCTTCTTGAACTTGGAGGACCTTTTTTCTTTTTTTGATGAATATACATAGCCAGAGACACACCATTTCAAAAATTTCTACATGTACAATTCAGTGACATCGATTACATTCTTCCAGTTGTGCTGCTATTCTCACTATCCTTTTCCAAATTGTTCCATCACCATTATCTTCAACCCACTGCCCCCTAGGCATCCCATCAAACCTTTTGAGTTGCTGTTGTCAATTTGATCTCACATAGATAATTCTTTTTTTTTTTGTACTTTAGATGAAGATTTACAGAACAGAATAGTTTCTTATTAAACAGTTAGTACACATATTGCTGTATGACAATGGTTAACAACCCCATGACATGTCAACACTGTCCTTTCTCAACCTTTTGTTCCCTATCACCAGCTTTCCTGTCCCCTCCTGCCTTCTAGTCCTTGTCCGTGGACTGCTGTGCCTCATTAGTCCCATTTTGTTTTACGGGCCTCTCCAGTCCCCGGCTGAACAGTGAACCTCAGGAGTGACTTCACCACTGAGCTAAAAGGGTGACACACATATTTTGGGGGGACACAATTCAATACATAACAACACACAAGTAAAATTTTGCTGAAGATCATTCAAAAACTATTGCAGCAGTACTTCTAGAGGGATCTACTAGAAATTCACGCTGGATTCAGAAGAGGACTTGGAACAAGAGATATCATTGCTGATGTCAGATGGATCTTGGCTGAAAGCAGAGAATACCAGAAAGCTATTTACCTCTGTTTCATTGACTGTGCAAAGACATTTGACTGTGTGGATCATAACAAATTATGGATAACATTGGAAAGAATGAGAATTCCAGAACACTTCATTGTGTTCATGCGGAACCTGTACATAGACCAAGAGGGAGTCATTGGAATAGAGCAAGGGGATGCTGCATGGTTTAAAATCAGGAAAAGTGTGTGTCAGGGTTGTATCCTTTCACCCTACTTACTCAGTCTGTATGCTGAGCAAATAATCTGAGAAGCTGGACTATATGAAGAAGAATGTGGCCTCAGGATTGGAGGAAGACTCATTAACAGCCTGCAGTATGCAAATAACACAACCTTGCTTGCTGGAAGTGAGGAGGACTTGAAGCACTTACTGATGAAGATTAAACACTACAGCCTTCAGTATGGATTATACCTCAACATGAAGAAAAAATCCTCACAACTGGACCAATAAGCAATATCATTATAAATGGAGATAAGATAGACGTTGTCAAGCATTTCATCTTACTTGGATCCACAATCAGTGCCATGGAAGCAGCAGTCAAGAAATCAAATGACATAGTGCATTGGGGATATCTACTGGAAAAAACCTCTTTAAAGTGTTAAAAAGCAAAGATGTCACTCTGAGGACTAAGTTGCACCTGACCCAAGCCATGATATTTTCATTTGCCTCATATGCATACAAATAGAGAAGACCAAAGAAGAACTGATGCCTTTGAAGAATATTGAATATACCATGGACTGCCAGAAGATCCAAGAAGTCTGTCTTGGAAGAAATACAACCAGAGCTCTCCTTGGAAGGGAAGATGGCGAGACTGTCTCACGTACTTTGGACATGTTATCAGGAGAGACCAGTCCCTGGAGAAAGACATCATACTTGGTAAAATAGAGGGTCAGTGAAAAAGAGGAAGAACCTCAACGAGAAGGATTAACACAGTGCCTGCATCTGGGCTCAAACATAATGATTTTGTGAGGATGGCGCAGGACAGGGGAGTGTTTCATTCTGTTGTACATAGGGTCACTATGAGTCGGAACCGACTTGACGGGACCTAACAACAACAATAGAGACAGAGTGAGAGCATCTTTATAAGTGATTGGTAGGTTTGTTTGGGGGAAAAATAATTTAGAGATGTTTTATTCTTAATTGGAATATTTAAAAAGTGATAAAAATGCTATTGTTATTTTACATGTTTGGGTATTTTTAAAATGTAGTAAAATCCAGACCCATAATACATATCATCTAAACCATTCATTTGGGAATTAATTTTGTGTTGTCTTATATAACTCCTTACACCTGTCAGCTCTTCAGGATCAATGTGAGGAAGTCTCCAAATATCCTTTTCATTCCTTCTCAGTGCACCCTGGTACTCAGTGTTAGAAGTAAATCATCTATTTGGTAGCTCATTTGCATGTAATCCGATAAACCATTATATTAAATATTATAAGAAATATTAAAACTCAGTCTCTGCCCTCAAGTTACTTAGAAGGCAGAAACGGAGTTAAATACTATAAATCTTAAATAGTAGATAAAAACCATTAGTTGTATGGTCCAAAGTAGGGGTCAAGGTAAGGAATTACTAGGATTGTTAATCCCTATATATTTTGGATTATTCAAAATATTTGCAGAATCAAACCACTTCTCATCATCTCCATTGCTACCACCTTGCTCCAAGCCACCATCATCTCTTGCTATAGGATAGCAGTAGCCTTCTGATTGGTCTCGCTGCTTTCACCTTTGTGCTTCCTGCCGTCTATTTTCAACGTAGTAGCCAGAGAAATCCTTTTAAAATCTAAGTCAGATCTTGTCACTCCTCTGTTCAGAATCCTCATAGTAAAAGTCAAAGCTCTTAGAAGGGCCTTCGTTACCCTTACAATGGCCCCTCTTATCTATCTGACTTTATTACTGTCCACCTTGCTGGCTCTGCTCTGGCCACAATAGCCCTGCTGTTTCTCAAATAGGCCTAGAATGCTGTTGCCTCAGATAGCCACATTCTTTGTTCCTTCACTTGCTTCAGGTGTCTGCTGTGGTATTAAAGAGGCCTTTCCTGACCTTTATATAAAATAGCACCCCACCACCCTAACCACTTCCTGTCTTACTTTTCCTGCCTTTTCTCCATTGCATTTATCCCTATTTTAGATACTTGTTGGTTTGTTTGTATATCAACCTGAATCTCCAAGTAGAGCGTAAGTTCTATGTGGACAGGGACTTTGTCTGGTTGTTCATTTCTGAAATACTGAAATTTCAGCAAAGAATTAGAAGTTATAATAGTCTTTGGTTATTACATTTTTCAGTTCAGTAGAAGCAGCAGTGATTTTCAACCCAAATTCTCAAAGATGTCTATTTAATTTTTTGTTTAAAAGAAGAGTTTTTGAAGCCAAAGTATAAACTTCAATATGAGTTTGAAAACCACTGCTCTAGAACACTCCACTAAAAATTAAATCCAAAAATTTGTTTTTCCATGTTTCTGTCACAAGTCTTTGAACCATTGGGAAGTAGGGAATCTGTTCTGTTTACTTTTGTTTTTCTAGCACTTGAGCATGCCCAGCGTGTAGTACATACTCAGTTCATGCTTATTGAAGAAGTGAAGTCACTTATGCAGATCCATCTTCTTTGCCCTTGTAATTTCTTCACTGCCTACTCCATCTTAGGGACTTTTTTTTTTCTTGCCAGGTGTCTTGGATACAGCAATTGTTGATCGAGGAAGGAATGTGGTATCTGGATCTCGAGATGGGACAGCACGACTTTGGGATTGTGGGCGCTCAGCCTGCCTGGCAGTCATTACAGACTGTGGTTCTTCCATCAATGGAGTGGCTGTGGGTGCTGCTGACAACTCCATAAACCTCGGCTCCCCTGAGCAGACGCCCAGTGAGTTGATAATGATTTGTTAGCTTGTTTTGTTTTCTTAGGTCCCCTTCTTGTTTGCCTTAGTTTCCCCTTTTCTTCCTCATCCTTTCCTGCTCTGTAGCTAGTATTTCTATTTTTACCATAAGATTACTATTTATTGAATGCCTAATATGTTTCTGGAAGCCCTAGTGGCATAGTGGTTAAGAGCTACGGCTGCTAACCAAGAGGTCGGCAGTATGAATCCACCAGGTCCTCCCTGGAAACCCTATGGGACAGTTCTCCTCTGTCCTGTAGGGTCGCTCTGAGTCAGAATTGACTCGACAGCAATGGGTTAATATGTTTCTATTGCTTTGGGATCTACAAAGGAAGTATCTGTCGTAGTCACTGCGTTTGAGTAAGTACAGGCTAATTTAGCAGATGAGACTAATGCCTGTATCATGCCCATATAGAAATGGGAAGGATACTTCAAGGTTGGGAGCTAGGACAAGTGGTAGAGGTAGGACCGGTTTGCATTAAAGAAAGCTTGGAGGTGAAATTGAGTGTTGTGTGAAAAAAGGTATGTTTGGAGCGTTAGCGGTGGGAAACACTGGTGAGTCAGAACGATGATGGTCCTAAGAAGACAATTTTCATCTTTAGTTTACTGCACTAATAACTAATAACTGCTTCTCTGTTCCCACGGGAATGTTTTTTTTCCTACCATTATCTTTGCACCCCAATTTTTACATACTCACGTGCTCTGTCTCTTCTCTTAAACTTCCTGTATAAATGCACTGTGGTCCAAGGGCTCCTGCTAAAACTATCGCTGGCCACTAGATGTTCCCTGGCCTTCTTTAGGAATTAATGAATTAATAGGTAGAGCTGTATTTCCCAAAGTGTGATAAATGTGCAGTTAGTGGTGAACAAGATCATTTTTAGTCAGTACACATTTTTAAGTTATATTTTAGTATAATATGTATACATACACATACATATATCCCATTTAAAGCCAAGATTTCATAGACATTATTATTTCAAAGAAAGTTAAGCTTTTAAAAATTAGTTTATTTGAAATAAATTAAATGAAAATATTCTTGTTTTCTTTACGTCTCACTACCTAGTTACTATTCAGCCTGTTCTAGGATGGTTTATGCTCCAACTACTTGACTGAAATGGCTCTTGTCAAGGTTACCAGTGACCTCTATGTTACCAATCCAGTGTTAATTCTCTGTGCTCTTCTATCTGAACTCTTGATGATATTTAGCACATTAAACCCTTCTCCTCAAAATGCTTTTCTTTCTTGGCATCTATATTACCTCACTACACTGGATTTCTTCCTCTCTCACTGGCTGCTGCTTCTTAGTCTTCTCTTATAAGTCTTCTCTATTCTTCCTTTAAATATTGGAGGGCCCTACTTTTCAGTCCTATACTCTGCTCTAATGACATCTTTTCCCTAGATGATCTCATCAGTTCCATAGCTTTAAATATTGTACTTAAGCTGGTGATTTCCAAAAGTATACCTAAAGCCTAGGCCTCTTACCTGAATTTCAGACTCTATTTGGTTGTCTAATAGATACCTCAAACTTATCTTGTCTAACTTAGGGTATTTTATTTCCTCTTACCCCAATTCTGTTTTCCCCATCTCAGTAAATGGTACCACCACCTGCCCATTTGATGAAGCCCAAAGCCTGAGATTCATTCATGACTCCCACCCTTTCCTGATGTTCTACACCAGCAGAGCCTGTCGTCTTTACCTCCAAAGTGTTTCTAATTTTTTGACATCTACCTGCCTACCTCTACCTCTACTTCTACCTCTACCCCTATCTTTACCTTTATCTTCTTCCACCTTGCACCAGTATCCTGGTCGAATCTATCATCATCTTTTGCCTGTACTACTACGTGTACTATTCTTCTATAATTCATTCTCCTCGGAGCAACCAGTGTAGTCATTTAAAAAGCGTAAATTGAGTCGTATCACTCTTCTGTTAAAAACCCTCCAGTGGCCTCCGCTTTATACATGTATTAAAATCCTAAACCCTTACTATGGCTTACAACAAACCCTTTAACTTTCTACCCTTACATTCCTTTCCAGCCTCATGTCAAACTACCCTGTGCCAGGCCTGCTGTGTTCCAGCTGTAGGCCTTCTGTTGTGCTTTCAGTACAGCAGTCTCTCACCCAGCCTTCTGGCTTTTGCCTTGCTCTTCCCTTACTCTGGAATGTACTTCCCACAGCTCTTCACATGATTGACTTCTGTTCATCATTCAGGTCTCAGTTGAAAAGTGTCCTCCGAAGAGCCTTTTTGAAGTTAAGGTTGCCCTCTCCTACCCTACCTCCCTCCACCTAGTCACTTTTGAGCATATTTTCCTGTTTGATTTCCTTCGAAGAATTCATCACTGTCTGAAATTATCCTACTTGTTTATGTATCTATGGCCTCTTTCCACTGGAATCCTTGAGAGCAAGGACTTTGTTCATCACTGTTTCCTCAGTGCCTAGAATAGTGTCTAATACATAGTAGACCTTCAATAAATATTTATTGAGTGAATGAATAAATTGCATTTCCACCAGAGCCTTGAGGGCAGAGACTATCTGTTTTGTTCAGCAGTATACCCTTGCTCCTAGTATGGTACCTAAGGACTTGATAATAATTTTTTAAAGTTGCATTTATTGAGGTATAATTTAGACACAGTAAAAATCACCCTTTTTAAGTATGTAGTTCTGTGAGTTTTCACAAATGTATACAGTTTTGTAAATATCACCACACTCAAGATATAGAATATAATAATTTTTTTTTTTTTAATTAATAAGTGAATCACTAACATAAAGCATAGTCAGTAAACAGCCTTCACTATCTGTGTTTTGTGGGTACTGCCAGCTGATCAGCCCGGCCCCTTAATGACATAGCACATCTGTCATGCAGGTGAACGGGAGGTTGGAACTGAGGCGAAAATGCTGCTGTTGGCCCGGGAAGATAAGAAGCTTCAGTGCCTGGGACTACAGAGCAGGCAGCCGGCAAGTGATTCCTATAAGACCTTTGAACTCTGAGGCAACCTGGGCCACTCTGTTTCTTGGAAAGCTGTTTTGAAAACATTTCTACTTGCTTTCTTCATTTTTTGAGGAGGATGAGTGGATGAAAGTACAGTGTAGTGATTAAGAGCATGGGATTGGCAATAAGGGCTACATTTAAATCCCACTTCATCCACTTAATGGTGACAACACTGGGCAAGTTACTTAACCTTTGTGAACTTTAGTTTCTTCATCCCTGAACATATTAGAAGGACTTAGCTTGTAGGGGTATGTGATAAGGATTAAATGCTCTACTGCTTTGTCATCTTTAAGTCACTTTTCCTCTCTGAGCCTTAGTGTGCTTAAGTGTAAAATGAAGAGGATATATAGATGCCCTTTTTGGCCCCTTATTCCTCTGAGATAATGTGAAAGAAATTCTGAGTAAGGGACTCATGCAATCAGGGCTCTCGATTAATGACCAGAATGTCTTTTATAGAAGAAGTCATTGAATTTTTGTCTTTCATATTCTGTGGTTTGAGACTGTGCTCTTGATTAAACTTGGTCTTCCCTGAGATTAGATTTATTAAATTTTCTTCTAGCTCCTCTCGTCATTATCCAGACAGCTTTAATGATTTGATTTGGCCACAGGCTTTGTATTTTCATTTCACCCCATTACTCTGTTGTGCTCGGGACGTTTTCATCTTCAAAGTTTGCTCCAGGAGCGTCACTCTTTTTGATAGAGTTGCCTTTGCACTCTGAATTTCTCTACTGGCTTTTACTTTCAAAGGTGAATCAGGGTTTTTTTGTGGGTTTGGGCTTTTTTTCTTTCTAGAACATTTGAGGGAGAAAAGACCAGTTTGAGCTTATAGTAAGGAATAAATGAAATCATAATAATTTCTTTTTTCAGATACACAGGGAGAATTGTGATTCTTTAAATTGGCACTTTATTTAAGCCTGTGTCCTTTCCTACAAAGTACCTCCTTCAAAAGGTTGCTTGAAGTGACATGAAGCACACCCCAAATGTGTGAATTGCAAGTGTTTCTCAAATGGGGGAGGGTGTTGTAATAAAAGGAGATTTTTGTTGGCAGGGATCTTATGAGTCAGTGGTGTTTGGAGTGGGGGGTGATAGTTTGAAAGCTGCTACCTCACAGTATGGCGTTATATAAACTGCTCAAGTCCTCAGCCAAGCTGACGTTCCCGAGATCCTGGGAGGGCTTCCTCCTCAGTTGTTGGCGAATGCTTAGTTACTGCTCGAGAATGTGTAAATGGGTAGAAAGAAAAATCTCAAAAAATAGTAAAGTTTTCCTTTTCTTGGTGCCTGTTTATTCCTGAAAACAAATTAATCTTTAAACATCTTTTTTGGCTCCTGTTTGTCCCCAGGTGTTTCTTTTTGTTGGCTCAGATGCCTTCAACTGCTGTACTTTTCTCTCTGGCTTCTCACTATTGGCTGGGACACAGGATGGGAACATTTATCAGTTGGATGTGAGGAGTCCAAGGTGAGTCACCATCTATTTGCATGATGCAGGTCTTCTGCAGAGTGGAATTTTTTTATTGGCTTTAACACTGATTTAGCCTAGCATACAGATGACTATTCATCAAGGGTATATTCTTCTGTTTATAAAAGTTTTCCAGTGTGAATTATCTGATTGTTATTAGTGCTTGAATCATATTAAAAGGTAATTTGATTCATACTGTCGTGACTTTCTGCTGTAGTGATTGCTTTGGAAGTTAAGCTTAAATAATGAAAAAACATTTCATTAAAAATGGTTGTCTAGAACTCTCCATTTTAAGGAGCTCAGCAATTATTGCTTTGGTGTTAGACTTGGGTTGGCCTAAGATTGAATAATCGTTTTTAGATTACATAAACCAGCTCTATTTCTTTTTTTAGTTTTAATAATAACCTAATATAGACCTACTCCTGGTCTTGAAGATATTCAGAGAAAATACTCACAACTCTCTGTTCCAGGATTTAACAATCTCTGTGATTCTTTTCCTTCCTCCTTTTATTTTTTTCCCTTATTCAACTAATATTTACTGAATGATTTCTTTGGGCACGAGGTTTTGTGCAGGGCACTGAAAAACAAAATATGCAAACTCTGCCTTTGAGACACATGAGGTCTAATGGTGAAGAAAGACGAGTAAGAGTCCGTTGTGGTGCTCTCTGGTAGGAATATACTCAGAAATTTGAGGAAGCACCAAGGAGAGGGAAGGAGATGAGACTGCCTTACCAAGAAAATGAGGCTTTAATTGGATTTTGTCAAGTAGGAAGTTAGCGAGTAAAGAAGAGACGGACCTTCCCTATGTTGAATAACATACAGAAGCATGAAAGCATTTGAAAGCATGGCGTTTTCAGGGATACCTGAAAGGTTTAATATGAAAGGCATGTAGCATGGAGTTGGGGCAATGGTGAGAAGTGATCCTGAAAACAGGAGCCTGCTTAATAAGGCCTTAGATACTATCCTACAGAGTTTGGAGTTCATCCCAAGAGCAATGAAGAAATTCTAGCTAGAAGGTCACTAGCTTACTTCTTTTTTTACTGATTTTTATTAACATGTATCCAAAATCCAAACCAGCTGCCACTGAGTCGATTCCAACTCATAGCGACCCTATAGATCAGAATAAAACTGTCCCATAGGGTTTCCAGGCAGCAGCTGGTGGATGTGAACTGCCAACCTTTTGGTTAGCAGCCGAGCTTTTAACCACTTTGTCACCAGGGCTCCTTAACATGTATAGTCTTGCTGAAAGGCAAATTTCTACCCATGGTGAGGTATATTTCTCTAATTCCCCTTTTTCAATACTCTTAAGTTTTCGTTCTACTATGGTGATTCCATTCCAGAGTGGGAAGAACCTAGCAGAACATAACTGGCTTCCTGAGCCTCCTTACCAACCCTTATGCAGACCCTGGCCATCATAGGGATTAAGTGCACACGTGCCTGGATTTGAATCCCATCAACACTTATTAGCAAATTACATAAGCTTTCTGAGTCACAGTTTTCTCATCTGAAAATGGAGTTTATGATGCTTACTTTTCTGTATTATACTGTTGAATAAATGAGATAAAGTTTGTAAAATGCCTAAAATAGCCTCAACATTTGGCAGCTATTGATATTTTTACCATTATCATCACCATCATTATCGTGCTGTCGCCTAAGTAACAGATGGGAATGCAACTCCAAGGACCTGGTGGGTTTTGACTCTGCTGTCCTGACGTTCTGTTGTAAAATGGTCACTTCTTCCCACTGTATTACAATTTTCATCTATTTTCTCATCAGCACATCAATCCTGTTCAGACATATGCTTCCTAGTCTCTGATACCACCCTCATATCCCAGTGAAAAGATCTTCACTCCAAGCTGATTTCGAGTTGCTTACCTTGATCTCCCAGTTAGGGTTTTTCCAGGAAAGAAACCATATGGATGTTTAATCTCCTTCTGTATTTGTACACTTTGTTTTTATATGGTTAGTACTATATGTTGAATGAAGTCAAGCATTGCTTTTGAAGAAAAAAAGTGAAAATTGTCCCTTTTATTCTGAATCCTAGGGCTCCAGTACAAGTTATCCACAGATCAGGAGCACCAGTTCTCTCCTTGCTCAATTTCAGAGATGGATTCATTGCGAGCCAAGGTGGGCCCAGGTGCTTCCATGTGGCTGAGTTAATTAAACAGTTTTATACTGGGTTACGGGTGTGATCCTCCATGATTACTTGTCACATTGTGCTTATTACATAGCACTTATCGCTCTAGATTTTAACTATCTGTGTACTCCCTTGAGAGTAGAGACTGTGCCTTATTCATCGTGTTATTCCCAGCATTTAGCTCTGTGTCCACCGTGTGGTAGGTGCTCAGTAAACATTGATAGAACAAATGAGTAAAAAAAAAAAAAACCAAACCCGTTGCCGACGAGTCGATTCCAACTCATAGCAACCCTATAGGACAGAGTAGAACTACCCCATAGGATTCCCAAGAAGAGGCTGGTGGATTCAAACTGCTGACCTTTTGGTTAGCAGTTGAGCTCTTAACCACTGTGCCACCAGGGCTCTGGAATAAATGAATGGGCCCTTATTATTGCAAGACAGTGAGGATTCAGTGATGAATCAATTACAGTTTCTGCCCCAAGGAGCTCACAGTTATTAAGGAAGACAAACATGGGAACATGTGATTGCAGTACAGTTTGATAAGTAGGACAGTAGAAGACTATATGGGAATATGGAGAACAACTAACTCTGCTGGTGGTGGTGGTTAGGTGCCATCACATCTATTCTGGCTCAAAACACTGCATGGTTCTGTGCCATCCTCAAAATCATTGCTGCGTTTGAGCCCATTATTGCATCGATCTCATTGAGGGTCTTCCTCTTTTTCACTGACCCTCTACTTTACCAAGCATAATGTCCTTCTCCAAGGACTGGTCCCTCCTGATAAATGTCCAAAGTATGTGAGACGAAGTCTTGCTTGCCATCTTCACTTCTGCGGAGCATTCTGGCTGTACTTCTTCTCAGATTTGCTCATTCTTCTGGCAGTCCATAGTATATTCAATATTCTTCACCAACACCATAATTTAAGGTATCAATTCTTCGGTCTTTCTTATTCATTGTCCAGCTTTTGCATGCATATGAGGCAATTGAAAATGCCAGGGTTTAGGTCAGGCATACCTTAGTCCTTAAAGTGACATCTTTGCTTTTTAACACTTTAAAGAGGTGTTTTCCAGCAGTTTTGCCCAGTGGAGTACATGTTTGATTTCTTGACTGCTGCCTCCATGGGCATTGATTGTGGATCCAAGTAAAATGAAATCCTTGACGTCAGTCTTTTCTAAGCCAATGAAGATTTCACCAGGTGGAGCTGTAAAGATGGACATTCAGGCCGAAGCTGTAGTGTGTGCAAAGGCATAGAAGAGGGAAAAGGGGCGAAAAGAAGGGCTCTAGACTTTATTGAGTGACTGCTATATGGTAGGTACTGTACTTGATGTGGAAACCCTGGTGGCATTGTAGTTAAGAGTTTGGCTGCTAACCAAAAGGTCGGCAGTTTGAATCTACCAGGTGCTCCTTGGAAACCCTATGGGGCAGTTCTACTCTGTTCTTTAGGGTCACTGTGAATCAAACTGACTCAAAGGCAATGAGTTTGGTGTTTTGGTGCTTGATGCTTTATATATATGTTCTAGACAAAGTGAGTAACTTGGTGTAGTCAGGACAAAATATTTGGAATGGAGTTTGGGAGTGAGGTTGGGGAAAATGCCTGGAACAATATGTCCGTTAAAGGAGACTGTGTATCCTCATAGGAATGATGTAAGTAAGGAGGACTGGGCTGTACAGTGTGGAAGGGCCACCTAATCTGAGTATTTCAGTGTTATCTGTCAGGATGCTTTTGGCTGTTAATAATAGAACACCCATTTAAAAACAGGTTAAATAATTAGGAAAGTATACTGTTTCACTTAACAAGAAGTCCAGGAGTATGGTAGTTCCAGATTAGATTAATTTGTGTTTTGTTGGGTGCCACTGAGTCAATTTCAACCCATAGTGACCCCGTGTGACAGAATAGAACTGTCCGATAGGATTTTCTTGGCTATAATCTTTCCAGAAGCAGATCACCAGATCTTTCTCCCACAGAGCCCCTGGGTAAGTTAGAACTGCCAGCCTTTCAGTTAGCAGCCAAGTGCTTAACTATTGCACCAAAGACTCCTTTAAACTAATTTAGTGATTCAAAAACAAAGTCAGTAAAGGAAATTAAGGAGACTTGACAGCTAAATCAATGCAATATCCTGGATTGGATCCAGGACACTAAAGGAAAAGGGCATAAAGGAAAAACTGGTGAGAGCCAAATAAAATATGGAATTTAGTTAATAGTATTGTACCACTGTTGGTTTCTTAGTTTTGACAAATGTAAGATGATAACATTAGGGGAAGCTGAAACCGGCTGAAGGGCGTATAGGAACTTTCTGTACTATCTGTGTAACTTTTCTGTAAATCTAAAATAATTACAAAATGCAAAGTTTCTTTAAATTTTTTTTTTTTTTTTAAATAAAAGCTTTAGCAAGGAAAAAGAAAATCAAGAATCCAGCTTCTTTCCATCTTTTGGCTTTCTCCTCTCTGGGTTTTGTCCTCAGGCTTATTTCCTAATGGTCGCAATGCAAGATAGCTGCAGCAACTCTCATCCTCACATAATAGTACTATTAGTATCGTTTTTAAGAATGAGGGAAATTTCCTCAGAAGCAGCCCAGCAGACTTGCTGTCTTATCTCATTGGCCAGAATTATACTACATGCCCTTGCTTAAGACAGTCACTGGCCAGGGGAATGGAATTATCATAGTTTGCTTGGGCTAATTAAGTTTTACCCTTGGGTCATCTGTTACCAGAAACCATTTGATTGGGTTGGCAGGGAGAAGGGCTAGAGAATAGTCGTTGGGTAGGCAGCCTACAGTGTCTGGATTTCATGGCCATCTCTCAGATGTAGGTAACCTTTCATCCCTGTCAAATCAATGCCTCATTTCACTGGCTCTTCTCATTCAGGATTTGCAGACAATAGTAAAGAGTAACCAGCAATCTGTAGACCTAAATTTCTAGCACTCTGTGCTAATTCTCCCTTAATCTCTCTTCCCTGTGGTTGGTACCAGTTTGTGATGCAGCAGTCCCCTGTTACAGAACCTTGATAAGGGAACAGCTGGTATAAGCTTGTGGTACCTCCCCTTTAATGCTGCTGCCACCACTCATTATAATCTGATTCCCTTTGCTGCCAGATTTCTGGGATGAGAGTTTTGTTGCCATGCTATACTCTTCCCTTGAGAACTCTCTCTAGTCTGGCTTCCATCCCTGTCCCTCTGCTCAGTTGGCCTCCTGAAGGCCACCAATGATGTGCTTCTTACTAGATCTAGTGGTTTTTTTCTGTGTACAGCCCTGTCTCATTTACTAGCCTCTAAGTTTCCTCCAGGGCATGTACCATGTTTTCTTCATCTCTGTATCCCCAGCTCTTGGACAGGACAAAAGACTCAGCAAGTTGTTTGTTGAATGAATGGGTAAATCTGTCTTCATCTTTCGTGACTCTTGGTAATGAATTCTGTAACAATTATTTCCTTTTCCTTAAACTATTATCTCCTTTGACCTCTGTGACACTATACGATTTTCTAGTTAATCTCTCTCTTCAATAGCTGTTCCTTTCTTTGATTTCAGTAACTTATAAGTACCTTACATGGTTCATGGTATACTATAGGTTCTCAAATTGAGTTGTTGAACTTGAATTCTTTTGCTGTTCCTGCTGTTGTACCATCCCTAAACCAGAGATATGTCCTGATTCAACTTGTCTTAGTTTCTTAGCGCTGTTATAACAGAAATGCCACAAGTGGGTGACTTTAACAGACAGAAATTCTTTTTCTCATAGTTTAGAAGGTTAGCAGTCTGAGTTCAGGGCACCAATCCTAGGGAAAGATTTGTCTCTCTTTGCTCTGGGGGAAGGTCCTTGTCTCTTTTCAGCTTCTGTTCCTTGGTTCCTTGGAGAGCTTCATATGACGTGGCATCTTTCTTCCTCCATCTGTGCTTCCTTGCTTCTGTTCCTGTTCTGCTCTTTTTATATCTCAAAAGTAATTAGGTTTAAGACATTGCCTACACTGATATGGCTCATTAATGTAACAAAGAAAACGCTATCCAAGAAATGGGATTATATCCACAGGTATAGGAGTTAGTATTACAACACATTTTTTTGAGGGGGGCACACAGTTTAATCCATAACACAGCTTTTGTCCTTCTACCTTTCTTTCTCTACACTTCCTCAAAGACTGACCTCATTGTTTCAACTGTCATTTCTGTGTTAATGATTGAAATTCACAGCTCTAGCTCTGCCTCCTACTTAGCCCTCATTTTATTGGACAGTAGCATGATGTGGAAAGAGCATAGATTTTGGACCTATACTGAACTGAGTTTAAACCCTCAACTCACCTCTTACTATTAGATTGGCCTCCAAATCCTCCCAACCCAGCATTCTAAGCAGGCAGTATCCGTCATTCATAGTTGGCCACATAGTAAAACCTGTTCATCTTCTTAGGCTAGTGATCTGCAGAAATAAATCAAAAAACTGAGTTTTTAACTCTTTTGAATGCAGCCTTCTCTTCAGTTATCTGAATTTTCTTTGTCTTTTAGGTGATGGAAGCTGTTTCATTATCCAGCAAGATTTAGACTATGTAATTGAGCTCACTGGACCTGACTGTGACCCTGTGTACAAGGTACAGGCCTGAGAGGAGACCAAGCCTGGGTGATTCTCACCCAGGATCTAGGCTTCAAGGGACTGAATCTAGCTTCCTTGTGGTCACTAGGGGTGTTAATTTTTATTTTATAAGCAGTATGATGGGATGGAAAGAAGTCAGGATTTTAAGTTAAAAGTGACTTCACTTATTGGCTTTAGAAATTTGAAAATCACTTTGCCTCTTCAGTCTGTCAATCCATCTGTAAAATGAGGATGATAATGTATATGAAAGCTTTTTGTAAATTTAAGGTATCTTTTAAATATTAGCCATTATTATTTAAAGTTCAATACTGATTTGCTCATTTGATTAGACTGGAAAGAAACAAATGAATGGGGAAATATATATTGACCAGATATTATGCTGGATGTTTTGCACATATTGTCTCATTTAATCTTTGTTACCATTTCTTGAGGTATTTTGTTGTTGTTGTTAGGTGCCATTGAGTCGGTTCCGATTCAGAGCAATCCTATAGGACAGAATAGAATTGCCTCATAGGGTTTCCGAGGAGCAGCTGGTGGATTTGAACTGCCAACCTTTTGGTTAGCAGCCAACCTCTTAACCACTACGTCACCAGGGCTCCTTTCTTGAGGTATAGGTGTCATTATTCCTATTTTTCTTATACTTTTTAACAAATTACACATTAATACATTCCTATAAAAATTCAAACAATACAGAAGTATACAGACTTAAAATCTCCTTTAAAACGTCTTTAGTTCTACTCCTCTAGGAGTAGCTAGCATTAACAGTTTGGCATATATCTTTCAAGACTATTTTCAGAGAATTTGCACACTTCTATCTTTGTGTTTATATATTTATGTAAATAATATACTTTTATCTTAGCATATAATTGGGATCATTCTATGTTTCCTGCCCTATGACTTGTTTTCTTTTTTTTAACTTAACATGTTAGAATTCTTTCCAGGTAAATGTATATAGATCCCCTATCTGTATTTATATATATTTTTTTAATTCCTGCATAATGTTCTATATTGTGAATTAACATATTTTACAAATGAGGAAACGGGGGCCCAGAAAGGTTAAGAAAATTGCCTTAGATTATGCAGCTACACAGTAGCAAACCTGAGATTAAGCTAACTCTCTAAAATTCATGCTATTTCCACTGAGTTACTGGTTCTTAACTTCCTTTGAATCTCAGGCTTCTTAGACAACTTGATAAAATCTTCCCAAGAAAAAAAGACACATATTCAGAACTTTTTTTGCATATAGTTTTGTGAGGTTAAGGGGTACCCAAGCCCATCTATGGACATCTCCCCAGGTTCAGACTCTCTACACTAAACCATGCACAGCACTGATGGGTTTTTACCCTCTTCTTAGGCCAGTTAGGTTCTGTATTAGGTAGTCCTGCATGCACCCTTGACCCTGGCCAGCCATTTTGTAAATACATATTATGGATGTAATCCTTCATCTCTTGCCCTCAGAGTCAGTAAAGCTTCTTAGACTCCCTTGGGATAATGGGAACTGTGACAAGGCTCTGGTTTTTGTTTTGTTTTTTGTACTTTAGATGAAGGTTTTACAGAACAAACTAGCTTCTTATTAAATAGTTACTACACATACTGTTTTGTGACACTGGTTACCAACCCTACAATGTCAGCAGTCTCCCTTCTCGACCTTGCGTTCCCTATTACCAGCTTTCCTGTCCCCTCCTGCCTTCTAGTTCTTGCCCCTGGGCTGGTGTGCCCCTTTAGTCTCATTTTATTTTATGGGTCTATCTAATCTTTGGCTGAAGGGTGAACCTCAGGAGTGACTTCATTACTGAGCTAAAAGGGTGTCTGGGGGCCATACTCTTGGGGTGTCTCTAGTCTCTGTCAGGCCAGTAAGTGTGGTCTTTTTTTTTGTGAGTTAGAATTTTGTTCTCCATTTTTCTCCAGCTCTGTCCGAGACCCTCCTATTGTAATCCCTGTCAGAGCAGTCGGTGGTGGTAGCCGGGCACCATCTAGTTGTACCGAACTCAGTCTGGTGGAGGCTGTGGTAGCTGTGGTTCATTAGTCCTTTGGACTAATCTTTCCCTTGCATCTTTAGTTTTCTTCATTCTCCCTTGCTCCTGACATGATGAGACCAGTGGAATATCTTAGATGACCACTCACAAGCTTTTAAGACCCGAGACGCTGCTCACCAAAGTAGAATGTGGAACATTTTCTTTATAAACTGTTATGCCAATTGAGCAAGATGTTCCCCGAAGACTGTTTTTTTTTTTTTTTTTTTTTGAAGAATCCCAGGTTTCCTTTCAACTGTGAACTCTTGTGTTCCAGGTAGCTACATGGGAGAAGCAGATCTACACTGCCTGTCGAGATGGCCTTGTGCGACGCTATCAGCTTTCTGACCTTTGACCCCTTGGAAAGAGAAGTCCCCAGCTAGTGAAAAGATTGATGCTGATCAAGAATGAGCAGACACAGCATCAGTCCTTACCAAGGACCATAGCCCTTTATTGACTTGGGTATCCCTTGGAAGTCATAGACACTCAGCTGCACTGGTCCATGTGGAACTGTCATCTTATGATGAGAACTACTTTGAACTGAGTAAGAAGTTCGTATGTGCTCATTGCCTTTGCCCCAATTTCTCCTTGTGTAAACTCACCCCAGCAACATAAGACAAGGATATGGGTGCTTACAGTTTGATCTCACACCAATTTTGTTAGATGTTTGTAAGGACCAGATGACTGAAGTCTGTTCTCTGAAGGAAATAAAGGAAATGTGTCTGGAGAGGCCTGAATTTGAAAACTCTCTTAAACTCTCATTCCAGCAAAAAGTCAGCCAAGCCAGTGGAACTCGTTTCATAAGCACTCCTTGTTGGCTTAGCCGTAGAGAAGGACTTCTTGGCAGTAGTGGTAAATATCCCATAAGCAGCAACCTGGGACAGATTTAGACTGTTAACGTCTTACACAGGTAGTGTGACCAACCACCCCAGTTTGCCTGAGACTGAGGGGTTTTCTGTGACATGGCACTTTCAGTGCTAAAACTAGGGTGGTCCCAGGTAAACCGATGTGATTGGTCAGCCTATATACAGGTGGAGAAACTGAATCACAATCAGTGTAAAGGCAGTGGTTGTCAAAATGTAGGCCCTAGACCCATGCCATAATCACCTGTGAACTTCTTAGAAGTAGAAATTCTTGGGCCCCATCCCAGACCTGAATCATAAACTATGGGTGGGTCCATCAGTCTGTGTTTTAACAAGCCTTCCAGGTGATTCTGATGACAGCGAAGCTTGAGAACCACTGACCTAGAGGAAAGGATGGCTAGGGGCACTTTAGACATAGCTGGAACTTAAGACTCATAGGATGGTAAGGTTGGTCTATAGGATACGAGGCTGGAGAAGTTGGGAGAACCCAAATAGTGAAGGGGTTTGAATGCCAGGTAAGGAGCTTAGACCTCATTTGGTCAGCAGTGGGGAACCACTAAAGGTTTAAGCAAAGGAATGACATAGTTTACTTTGTTTTTTCTCCCTAAATATAAAAATGTAATCATAATATATGTATTCTGTGGCTTATTTTCACCTACTATCTCTGAGATCTTTCCATCTCAGTACGTTTAGACCTTCCTCATTTCTTTCTAACAATTTTTAGGGTAGGTATATCATATTATTTACATTTTAGGGATTATTAGATGAAAGGTTTCTTGAAGGATGCAACACTTGAGCTGGGCCATGCAGGATAAGATTTATATTTACGTTAGGTAGTGTCTTAGTTAACTTGTTGTTGTTAGGTGACTTTGAGTCGGTTCTGACTCATAGCGACCCTATAGGACAGAGTAGAACTGCCCCATAGGGTTTCCAGAGACCAGCTGGTGGATTTGAACTGCCAACCTTTTTGTTAGCAGCCAAGCTTTTAACCACTATGCCACCAAGGCTCCCTTAGTTAACTAGCAGTGCTATAAGAGAAATACCACAAGTAGATGGCTTTAATAAAGAGAAGTTTATTCTCTCATAGTCTAGGAGGCTAGAAGTCCGAATATAGGGCGTCAGCTTCTTTCTGTTGGCTCTGGGGGAAAATCCTTGTCATCAATCTTCCCCTGGTCCAAGAGCTTCTCAGCACAGGGACCCCTGGTCCAAAGGATGTGCTCTACTCCTGGCACTTCTTTCTTGGTGGCATGAGGTCCCTGTCCTCTGCCCGATTCTCTCTTTTATGTCTCAAAAGAGAATGACTCAAGATACAACTTAATCCTGTAGATTGAGTCCTTCCTCATTAACGTACAAACCAAAAACCAAACCTATTGCCATCGAGTCGATTCTGACTCATAGCGACTCTATAGGACACAGAAGAACTTCCCCACAGGGTTTCCAAGGAGCCGCTGGTGGAATAGAACTGCTGACCTTTTGGTTAGAGCTGAACTCTTAACCACTGCCCCACCAACTGCCTCTAATCCTGCCTCATTAACATCATAGAGGTTGGGATTTATAATACATTGGATAATCACATCAGATCACAAAATGGTGGACAACCACACAACACTGGGAATCATGGCCTAGCCAAATTGATACACATTTTTGGAGGACACAGTTCAGTCCACAACAGGGAGGAAGGTAATTCTTGGCTGAGGTAATAGTATGTTAGACAGAATTTTTAAAGGTATATTCTCATGTAGGCACTTGGGTGGCACAAACGGTTAAGGGCTTGACTACTAGCCAGAAGGTTGGTTCAAACCCACCTAGAGGTGCCTCAGAAGACAGACCTGGTGATTTGCTTTTGAGGTGTCACAGCCTTGAAAACCCTATGGAGCAGTTCTACTCGGCACTCATGGGGTTGCCATTAGTTGGAATCGACTCAGTGGTAACTAACAACAGCAACGTTCCCATGTAATCTTTATAACTACTCTGACATGTAGGTGGTGAGACTCAAAGAGATGAAGTGATTTGCCAAGGGCCATAGCAGGAACGTGAACACAGTTTATCTTAACCGTAAATCCCATTTTCTTCTACAACACCATGTTGCTTTTGTATAAACCAAAGTGTAGAAATAAAATATTACAATAAGTTGAGTATCTACTGAGTATCTTACTCTGTTGTTGGCATTATATTTATATATTTAATCCTCACAACATTCTTTTTTTTTTTTTTAATATTTGATTGTACTTCAGGTGAAGGCTTACAGAACAAATAGTTTCTC